GTCATTCCACTTCAACACAAATATGAAAATATTGTCAAATTTATAAATTCACACTCACATTTCGACCAATGTAATAATTGACACCCAAACATAGAGAATTCGAACAACAGCGCATCAAACAGCCGTTCAAATCAACATTTTCAGGTTCAATTACTGAATGTAATATCCTACATTCACTCAGTAATACAGCTTGGCTTATACACCGTTCAACGTCGCAGGCCACCAATTTGTAGGTAAGTAAAAGCAGGGCAATAATTACTTGCAGCTTACACTTAATATTTCGGAATAAATCGTTCAGGTCATTCAACATTTTTTCTAATAGAGCTGAATGCATGTTCAGAGTAGATGTAAATAATATATGACTACTTGTAGACCAATCAAACATGAGATAATTAGATGTTTGTCCTATTAGTTGATTGATCATACACTTCTGTGTGAGAAATCTTGATCACAGGTGTCTCAAGCCTCATTGACGAAATGAGTGTATTAAACTGATTTCATTGGTGGATATTTATGCATGACAGGCTGTTATGATTATGTAGGTATTTAGTCTTCGAATATTAAATACTTTCTTTACAAGATGAACAAAAGACTAACTGGTGTATTTCAATAGCCTCAAGCCCATTGTAACTCCTTAATCAAATGTTCCATGTAGTCTACGGTAGGGAAAATTTGAAGTCTGTTGTTTTCTGTACAAATAATTTGTGATGCATGTGATTGGTCCGAAGTACATCTGTAACGGAAGAATGCAGGAGACTTGGTATCTCTATATAGCCAAATTATATACAACTTATCTCCAAATTGTCATTTGCTCAGATCTTCCGTGTTGTTCTGCTTCTGTCCTCCGTATTTTGGTTCCTTGTCTTCTGTTTGTGTCTCTCATGTTTTCCTGAAACGCTGAGTCATTTGCTGTCTTCGACGTCAAAATGTCTCTCACTCTCCGCTATTGGATACTTTTATGCATATGAACGTCTCCTTACATACCACAGATAAATCTAACCAGTAGCACACGCCACACTTCTATCGCCCTTGAGAACTCTGAATTACGGCTGTGCAAAATAACTGGGAAGCGGTCATTAATAATGGCTTTGTTATCCGACATTATTAAATAATTTCTAATGGACAATACTGGATTTCTATTCAGACTGAGTACAGTGGGATTTCTCGATGTGATTTAATAACCAGTTAGGAATATGTTCTTTTCGATAACACTGAGTCATTCTATCGATTCAACCTATATCCTTAAACTTCAACTGTAGGTGAACTTGTAGCTACAGTGTGAAGTAGACAAAGTTTCGTCCTTTATTCGTAGACACAGGAACTGAAAATGTTCGAGATGTATGGGAAAGAGATGTAGCTTAGAATCTCCACTTAATAGCAAACCAATAACTATGAGCTGTAATTTGAATGGTTGATCACTCTTCAGCAGTAGTTCAATAAGTTACCTTACATCGGTTGGGAGGCTGTCTTTTCGTTGAGGAGTTTCTCTTTAATGTGATGTATAATGAAATTTCCCGGAAATCCATTAGTCTACAAGAATATGATTTTAATAAGCGCCCAAGAAGGCTTCCCATTGTATGCTTTTGCTTGCAAATTAGTTCTGAAATTTTCTGTGTACACGGAGATCACACCTCTTATGTAAGTGACGAATAAAGACACTACTATTCAACTGCTTGTGACATAATCACAAGAGAAATCGATAGTCTCCTGAATTGAAACATGGGTAGGTAGAGATTCTGTGTCCTTTTAGTACATAACCTTTTCCCTAATCTTCATGATTTCAGGTATGTTAGCAAATCAAAAGAGGTTTTAGTGCAGTCTTTTGATTAAAAATCGCTCATCAGTGTAGGAACCTGTATATCCCACTTGGATTCTACGGAGGAGATACAGGTCACTTGAACCGTTTTTCTAGATGTTTCCCCATGAATTACATCTGCCTCTTTCGTAAAGTTATCAGACGTTTCATCCTACTGGCGAGTCATTGCATCTGATGTGGATTTTTGAGCACCCACTTGCCCAGTGAGCCTAAATAGCTGACGGGTATTATCATCTTTTGATGCCTTTTCTATTTCTTTCGTCAACGTTTAACAACACTGTTCATAATCGTTAGCTATGATTAGCATTTATCACCTCTTCCGTGTCAAACTAAAAATGACACCACGCCTCATCAAGGCGACTGTGGTATTCAATGTGGTGAGACAGCTATGTTGTTAACTTCAATATATATGTAGACTTCATTCCCTCTTAGAACGTTTAAACCTAAGGACTTCAGGACTTCATTCAGTAGCCGGTATAAACGTGCAAGACTAATGCATTGCCATAGTTCATCAGGTATTAAAATTCGAGTGGAAATCTACCACCCACTTATTTCATCAACAACGCATAGCTTAGTGGTTTGCTTGTCTTCGCTGTCAGCCTTAATTTTGAGGTCACTAGGTGAGATAATGTCTGTCCTGCTGTTTACAGTAAGTGTTGACAAGAAAAACGTGGTCTTCTGAATAAAATTGTAGGGAAAGTCCAAAGATGTCTGTTTCTGGAATAGACATAGAACTGCATAAATATCCTGAATACAGTTTACAGACTAGTTCGAATTTTTTCTCTCGAGCTCCGAAACCACCCACGGAAATGATTCTGTCTCAGCGTTTCCCTCTTAGTACTTAACTCAATAAAACTCATCTTCTGTTTCATCCAAACTGAAATCACTTAGTAACTAAGCAGAAATTACGAAAAAGCATTGACGAACATCAAGTTGAGATATGAAATCCCTCTACTAACTCTCAATACAATAACTAGACCATCAAATCCACTAGAACTAACCTAGGAATATCCTGGTATCTGTAGATTTCACTATGTTGACCAGTCCGGAATAAAGGGAAAACTTACACCTGAATATTATATGCCCGCCTTAGAATTACAATACATTTCCGGAGCCATAGATGCTGAAGACAGAGCGAATGATGCTAGATATGCTATTTGTCGAATAGTATGGATGTTGTAAGCTCCAATATAGAAGCTGCAGAAGTCATTTCCGCTACCTTAGAATGCTTTTTCTTGCAATATACATTAGACATTGAATAATTCTGCTACGTGAGTTCGGTCATGACTTCCACCCAACAGACATCGGCTGGGATATATATATATATGTATATAAACTGTATTAAAAAATATTTCATCCCGTTACAATTTGTTTGATTTACAGGGAATAAGGACACCATCGAAAATGTTTTCTGAATGTTATGATTTAAAGCTGCACACAAAACACCTCACATCCGACTATTAGATAACAAGGAATAAAGTACAGGGAGGAGTACAATAAGCATGAAAATAATGAACTAAACCTAAATAATAGCGTAGCCTTGGATAAATCAAGCCACCCTAATTTAATAGCCAATGTTAAACCAGGAAGAGAAGAAATGTTAGGTCTGAAGCTAGAGGATCCAGAACTTGAAAGTCATTCTCATTGCTCTTGAAACTTCAAAACAGAGAAGAAGATAGGCTTATTGTTTATCGGAAACAAGAATACTTTTCATATTGACAATCAGTGGCAGCTTCAGGAATGCATTCGACTAACAGGCCCACTTCTCTCAGTGAAAGTAGAAGTAAGCGGGGAACACGGAATAGTTGTGTCATGTTTGAGGCTAGCTTCCTCAGATTGAGGGAGATATAAGATGACATAGAAAGTGTTAGGAATCTGTTTGAGCAGACTGAATAGAACGTAACTCTCAAAATGTTTAACTGACGAATCAGTATTCCACTCCGGTCACCCAGGTGACCATTTCAAATACAGTGATATTTTGACTATTATGATATCAACAACAGCATCGAAGGCTGTCATGTCGTGGGCGACAATCTTCTCTTGTATGATGACAGCAAGACTCGTTTCAAAATGTAGGAAAGTCGCGACTATACAATGCCAGGCACAACACCACAGACAACTCATATCCAATGGAGAAGAAGGAAGAATTCTAGAGAAAATGATTGTGTTATCACTATCGAAAACCACACCGGGTATTTGTTGTTTTTATTTTAAATGGTGTATTTAATAGAGGTCGTTAACTCAGTAAACCTTTCTATAAATATCACGAGAAGTATATTAGTTTATCAAATGAAGTGTGAACCATTTCAGAAGAAACTCCAGGGCACTGTGCAATAACTTATATTCTATCCTTTAAGCAGGATTCCTCTTTGTAGAATGTGAAGGACACCCTGAAAATATTGTCGTACATTGCCAGTTATCCTTTTGTACACGCAACAATCCAGTTTTAAAAATTTGTAACTGACGTTCATGACATTCCAGACAGTCGGGTCACACATTTCTCCGAACTGATTCGAAATGCAGTAAACTGAAACATTTAGCTAGAGAATGCAATAAACGTGCACTTTGATGTATTAATTAGTACTGGTCATACCTCTGAAAGCTACATATTTCGACCAAAATACAGTTTTCAGGATTTCATCATGACCTCTCCGTTCTTCCGAGAATTTTCAATGGTTCTCTAACCTATGTCAGCACATGACGAAATCTTGTAACCAATCAAATCATATCCCTGCAAACTACCATCAGAAACGGAAAAATATATACCCAGTGTCACTTATTCACCAATGGGAACTAATAATTTAGTTAAAAACATTCTTACTACTAAAACATCCAATAATTGTGTCCACTATATAAAACAAAAGTTCTTTCACAGCCTAATGTATGATACATCACATTAGCTAATCTTCTATTGGACAACACAAAGAAATATTTAAAGCTTCACTATGAATATTTGCTACACAGTTTTCCTGATGAAATATCAACTCACTAAATGATTGTTCACCTAATTATCCAGCACATATTGTGCATCCTCTCCGTGCTGCTCAAGTTTTCTTATAGGTCCGTTTCAGCCAACAGTGGTCTATGCCCAAGAGAACTTTCAATAGTGAATAACTATAAAGTGAAACAGTCAACACCTCAGTCAGCAGAAGTCAGCAAAGTTGAATGTATTATGAGATGTTGTATGGACCCGCAATGCTCAGGTGTCAATTATTATACTGGTCAGAGGGTAAGTGCGAATTTGTATCATTTGATGGAATTTGATGTCTGTGTTTACATTGCTTTGTATTATCTTCATGCATGCTTGACACTTTTCAGTGATATATATATATATATATATATATGTATGAGACGCGGGGACAGAGTGGCATGCGACGCTTCCTTGAAACTGGAAGTTTCCGAGTTTCGGTCATGGTGTATACACACTGTTTAATTTTCAAACTACTTCAACTTGGTGGATTACACTGCTCAAATCTGTATCAACCCCACTCAACAGCTGGCCATATGACAATGCCACATGTCATGTGATCTACAACGGAAAAGTCAACGAAGCTTTTGAAGTAAAGAGAAGAGTAAGACATGGCCGCCAGCTACCAAAAAATGATATTCTTAATTGTTGTGGACAGGATTATGCTTCAGACTATGAGTTGGGAGCGAGGAGACAGGAATACACTAGGCTGATAATAGGACTCAAGAAGATCTGGACTTTACAGGCAATCTATGTCTAATGTCACAAAAACTCGAATACCTACAGGCAATAAACAATAAACCGACAGAGAAGGCAGCAATGACAGGACTTCAAATGGACATAGATAAGGCGCAGGTGTTGAAGGTAACCAGCCAACAACAACCAGAACCAACCACTATCAACGGGAAAAATTTGAAAGAGGTCATTTCCTTCACGTATCTAGGGAGCATCGATTTACCTTCCGGCGACAGCATGTATGAGGATGTCAAAGGCAGAATCAGGAAAGCAAGACAGACCTTCATCACTCTGAAATCAATTTAGAGATCTTATCAACTAAGCACAAACAACAAAATTCGAATGTTTAACACCAGCTGCCATCGCCGCCTACTGAATATTAGATGATGGGCCAGAAGCCATCGGTAACAAGAAAATCTTGAAAAGAACCAATCAAGAACATTTTGCTGAGGAAACTGAAAATGGATGGATCACATGTTGAGAAAGTCTCTGGGTGAAATCACGCTCCAGGTCATCGAGTGGATTCCGAATGGGAAACGATGAATTGGGCGTGACGTGGAAGAGACTGTGTGAAGAGGAAATGAAAGATCATCGGCAATCATGCAAGGATCTAACGGGAACTTCACAGAACAGTACAAATATACATGTGCTACTGAAGTCCTATGTTCCATTCGGGACCCAAAAGGAATAGTAACAATATACATAATGTTTTTTGGCTCCCAAGAAATAAAAGTCGGAAGTGACATATTGTCGAAAGAGATACCTCGGACTATTAAGAAATTTAGCGATGCATCTCGCGTATGTTTCGAACTAGTAAGCTGATAGAAATTTGTTATTATATGCGGTGAATCTTGTAGAAAAACTGAATGACACATCTTCACAGCTTTCAAAACGATAAGTCTAAATCCATTGGACCGTTTATATTAATTTCACCTGTGTACGATATGATTACCAGGTAAACGAGAAAGGACAACTTCCATGTTTGAAAGTGATTGTTTATAATCCCAAACACAAATCTGCTACTCGGCATAGAACATAATTTTCACTTGTTGTACGGACCTATTCGTCCACTTATTGCATTGTGAAGCCTGAACAATCTGCAACATTGGGCACACACTTGGGGGCACATTCATGTGATAAGTGATTAAACTGTCATTCGGATTTACTGATGCCTAAATTACTTCATAATCTCCTCAAGAACAAATATCAACTGAAATTATGCTTGATGTTTGATCAGTCTTTTATCCCAAAGATAAACGATTATGTAGGTTCGGTTAAAGGAGATAACCGAATGTTCGTTTTGGGACCAATAATCCATGGATTTTCGCCAACTAAATTGAAAACCTTGATTATTATTATCATTTTCTTTTTTGCCTTCTTTATTTCAGACAGATGTGAAAGTGAAATGTGCACTAGTCATTGCGAAAAGAATCGTCTGTTTTGAGGCTATAAGTGATTGGACTTACCATTTTATGAATGTTGCTCCTAATAAGGTTAACCATCTTCCTGCTCTTCTAATAAATGCAGTGTATTGTGGTGAGTAGTAAAGTTGAAGCCGCTGGATATTTTGTTTTCCTGCACATATAATATGCACCGCACTACTTATAATTTAATACATGATATTTTGCTATTCAAATGTACAACATGGAGATGTTGAGAAAACTGAAGATTTGTCTTGTTTATCAGTTGAGAACAACTATTTCTCTTTTAAGGAGAGTGGAAAATGTATGACACTGTATTTGAATACCTAGAAGATTTTACACAGCTTGTTTTAATTTGCCAGATATGGGTCAGTTGGCTTACGATAAGGACATGGACTAACATAAAGTGATTTCCGTTCATATGACAAAGGAATTGGTAATAACAGTACTGATGATAAACGCGATATCATCGTAGCGTTTATTGAAGAATAAAAAGACTTGGTCTTATACCGTTGAGAGTAAGACAGGTTTGAAACATCGGATTGACCACAATAAATTGGTTCTCATTATAAATTGATCACATCTAACGTCGGACTGTCATTCCCCTATATTAATGAAGGTGTGTTTGCCAAATGTCAGTGTCGAAAATATGTTCAACACCTTCTAGCAGATTCTTACTGATGTCAACATGAACCACGTCTTCTAACTTGTGTTTGCATACTCTGTTTATTGTTAGACGCATACACACACATGGACATCATTAATGTGTACATTTGTCTTGTGAGCGATATATTTCAGATCATATTATGAAAGTCGTATCGACTCATCTTCACTTGAAATATGTAGAGGTGGCGTTTTTCGCAAATGATATATGCCCGCAACTAAGTGTGTGATGTAGTTATGATTAGCTTAGATATACTCATTCACACATATGAAACCCTATATCATCATTTTGAAGAAGGGAAATTCGATAACACTCAGCGGAGTCTTAAGTGTACCATTTTTACCTGTTTGAGTTGGCAGTATGGTAAAAATTTATACGAGTTGTTATGATAGGCAAGTGCTAATGGGTATGTTGAACTTCCAGTGATGAGTGAGTGAACCAGTGTATGGTGAGTTGTGGAAGAGTAGGGTTTGACACTGTAATTGTGAACTGATAACTCCCAGTTTAGTCTATATTAAGTACAAAAGCTACTGGTTGTCTTTTATTTAGGTTGTTTTGTGGTGTATTTTATTAAAGCTTTATCAACATTGTTAGCACATCTGAATTTTAATTCTGCCTCTTTCCATCCATAATCTTTCTATTCTTCATCTTCTTCTTCTTCTTCTTTATATTCTATTCTTAATATTGAACAATGAACATTCCAATTTCTTTTGTTCAACTGTCAATCATATGTAAACTCTTCCACTCATTGTTCTATCAACTATAGTATATCCTTATATACATGGATGTGTAAACAAGTGGGCATTTCATTATGGTTGGAATTTTGTGATGTTATTATTGAATTTATTAGGCGAATAAATTATTGTGACTTGCTTTGTTTTGTTTTTTGATATTTCGTTTCCATTATTGGGAGTTCCAGCTGTCTTTGAAGAGTATAGATGATATGAATGGGTTGAGTGGCATCTCTTGAGGTTGACGTTACTTTATCTATTATACATTCAACAAACAGTGTCGATGGTGTTTGTTGTATTTACGAGTAATGTGTATCTCACTGTTTGTCCTTTGCGAGTGAATATTACACCACACAATCCGACAACCGGTCATGTGCTCTTATCGGAATAATTGTGACTTTAAAATGAAGAATATCTCTGAGAAATTGAATTAGAATTGAATCACGATTTACAATATCCTCCTTGCAGTATCAATTAAGTTGACTGAGAGGAAGGCGGAATTTCTGAATGTAGTGTAGAAACCACATCTGAACCAAAAATGCTGTTACATAATTCCTTCTGATCTCTTCACTCGGAATGTACAAAACCTTTCTCTTCTTTACGCCATTTGAGGTCTTACCATGTGTTACATCTGTAGGGGATTAAACAATGAGCTCAGTAAGTGTATGGAAGATCAAAATAAAAATCCAAGTTGATAAAAAATATTGCAACAACCTATTAAAGATAGGCAGATAACTGAGTTGTGAAAGATAATAGTTACCTGGAGATATAATAATAGTCCACTTCTACGAATTAGCAGTATAATCCACAGACAGATACGGTTCACTGATGGGTTTTGTCCGCTTGCAGAATTGGTTCACTGGTTAGAAAAGACCCTTTGGATGAGGTGTTCCCTTAAGTTCTAGAGAATACGACACGAGGACTGGCAGAGTAAATAGACTAAAGAAACTAGTGTAAGACGAAGCTGGGAGCAGCACGACTATATTTTCATTCGAACGCCAAAGTTATTTTGCTCAACAAACATTTCGACCAAAACAAATGTGATGTACTGTAAATGTCCAAACTTGAGTTGATTTCCTGGAATAATTTAAAGGTTGAGTCAGATTGAATTATTAAAAACCACTTAAAATAATCACAGCGCGCCTCTAAGACAATATTTTTCTGAGCGTATAGCTGTGCAAGCTAGAGCTTCCTCAGCTGTATTACTCAGCTTAAGCGTGGTTACTTTGATTTTCTTGAGACGTTTTTGCTGTACAGAGTTGAAAACACAGTGGTGTACCCGGTACAATCGGGTCTAGATAACAGAATCTGTTGAGGCCATTGAAGTCCTCACTAACCGTGCATGCAAGCTGGTCACATATAAGAGTGACTTGAATATGTTTGGTCGTCAAAATATATCTTGGTTACATTCCATCTAGAACTTTGCACTCTGCAAATTATGAAGTTAGTTTAAAGAATTTTCGCATTGAAATTTTGATCATGAATTATATGTAGTGGTGATGTGATTGTATTTCTTTCCGCAATTGTGCTATGTGGTCGATGAACACAAGAATAATCTGAGTCTTTACTATTCCTTCTCACTGGCTACAGGAATTTTTAAGCAAACAGTAATTGTTAATAAGACATAATTCAATGGTCTCAGTAAATTTCAGTCGACTTCGTTAGTTGAAATGGTGTACGTATCATGTTATATATATACTGCAGGTTATATTAGGAGAATATCTGGAATAGCCATTGATTGGCACACAACTAGTGGTGTTAAGGATGATGGTTGAATGTGAAATGATATTTTTGTTGCTGCAGGATCCAAACTAGCCTAGACTAAAATCACTGACAATGAATTATCAGGTTAACCGAAGAGGCAAGCAGATAAAGATTTGCTTATCGTTGACAGATACTCAAAATTATAACGCAAACCTCTGTGATAAATGAAGAAACAGAGAAATAAGCTCAATATACTTAGGCAATAACGCACATGTGTATTATGTACGTTTTACAATTAATGGATGAATACTTACTATGCATGTTGCTCAACCTAAAGTTGATCCAACTTAAACTGGAACCTGGTGGGCAAATGACCATTGTACCACTTACTATTTATTTCATCACATATCAACACGATGCAATCCAGTAATGACAGATAAAGTGTGAATCGAGTATTTCTTTGTTATATTAACTGTTGTCAACGTCAACTTTGTATAGAGATCACTTTAGGCGTACATTTATAGTCCATATCAGAATAATTATATGTAAAGTACTCTGCAAAATTCACTGTTCATTATAGGGTAACTTTGTTATTTCTCCCTATGATTATGCTTCACTAAAATATGCTATTTACGCGAACTTGCATTTTGTTTATTGATAATTAATGACTACAAACATAATACTACAAGTAAGCGTACGCCCCATGACTACTGATACCTCTCAAAAGTAAACGGATTCAGAAGAGAATTTTTACATTGAAGTATTGATAACAGATTGATCTGTGGTTGACCAGGTGAACTTAGTAGACGAAGGTTCATGAGTTATACAAAAGTATGAAGTATGACATCATTTTATTTATTATTATTATTACATTCTTTAATTACTAGAGGAACATAAGGCTTCAGCCGCGCACCTCCACTGCGTTCGGTTTTCTGCCAACTTTTTCACTCCGCTCCAAGTCTGCCCACAAGCTTGTCTTGCTTTCCCGATCCTTGCTTTGATATCCTCGTCAATTCCACCTGTAGCTGAACCGATGCTTCCTAGGTGGGTAGGTAAAGGAGGTTGTTTATTTCAGGTTCCTCCCATTTATGCTAGCTGACTGCTGTCTGATGTTGTTGCTGCTGCTGGTGTTGGCCAGGAATCTTCATCACCTCTGTTTTATCTATGTTCACCTGAAGGAAGTGTTATCTTCTCTGTATGCTTCTTCTGCCAACTTGTTGATTTTTACTTGCACATCTTCCAGTTTGTGGGAAAGCAGACTTATCATATCATCGGCGAAGTCCAGATCCTCCAAGTTTTTCGTGCGAGTCGATTTTATGCTTATTTCCTCATTGCCCGCCTGTTGTCTGTCGGATTATCCAATCTACTGCGATCAGGAAGATCATTGGCGATAGTAGACATCCTTGCCTCACTCCCGTCCTCAATTCGAGGGATTCCGTAAGTTTCCCGTTGTGGATTACTTGGAATGCAGGATTGTCGTATAACTGTTGGTGGATGAGATGTATAATTGTCGATGGGACCCCGTAGTAGCGAAGTAGTTGCCAAATCACCTCTCGATCGACGCTGTTGAAGGCCTTTTCAGAGTCAATGAAGTTGAGATAGAGAGGTGACTGCCATTCCAACCTTTGTTCAATGATGATCTGTAGTGTAGCAATTTGATCAGTGCATGACTTGTTTCTCCTGAATCCAGCTTGTTCTGGTCGAATTTTTTCATCCAGGGCTTGTTTGATTCTCTCCAGGATGATGTGGCTTAGTATTTTGCTTGGGATGGACAGGAGCATAATTCCACACCAGTTTTGCATTGACTTAAGTCTTTTTTCTCTGGCAGATTGAATGAGTATCCTTTCTTCCAATCCGCGGGTACTTTGCCCTCTTTCCACACCTTCTCCGGCAATGGCGTCATCAAGTCCGCTGTTGTCTCTGGGTCCATTTTCAATGCTTCTGCTGATATTCCATCTGGTCCTGCTGCTTTTCCAGCTTTTAGCAACTTGATTGCATTCAGGACTTCTGATTTTGTCGGGGTG